TTTAATCACACAATTAATAATTAATCAGAGGTTGGGCTCAATGCTGTGGAGTCTGCAGATGGGTCTGCTGAGAAGGGCCCTAAAAAAGCAGAGTTAACAGCCAAAAAAGGGTTATCAACACATCATGGCATCATTTTAGGTTTGATTTTATTAAATGGAAGAAAAATACAGATACTGCAGTGGTAGAAATGTGCACAGTTGAATCAGTAGTTTTATATAAAAATAAATAAATAAAAACTTGGCTCAACAGCTCTGCAGAGTTTGTGAGGGAGAAAATTAAGCAGTCGCTTCTATGTGCCATTTTTTTTACATGCAAATATGGAAAACTGGATTATGTGCCTGTTCACTGCATGTAAACACCATTAATAATACTATAACAAAGTGGTTAGAGAAAAATAGGTCCAGGATGTGTCCACTGTGTTATCTAACAGTAAAAACACCCCGTGCATTGATTTACCCTGCTCTGGAACTGATCATAACAAACACAAATGATCATTTTGTTCAATGTAGTTATTCACAGTGAAATATTTTCCATTTTTATCAGAGAGATCAGGAGTTAGTGGTTTATCCTTTCTTTTTTCTTTATTAAGTCCAGCATTCTGTCTGTGCTTCCAGTGTTATAGCAGAGAGCAGAGTGTTTACCCAGCTGTAATTACAACATGCACAACGACCTCATTCTGCTGTGTCAGTAGTGGTAATGTATAGCCCTTGATCTTAAACTGCAAAGAAAAATGGTATGTACTTATTTTCAATATGCTGACTATATTCCCAGCATCGTTTAGACACGGCCATGACGGCGGATCAGAATTTGATATAAGAGGTGGTGCTCCTATTCATGTGACAAGGTCTCTCTGACTTTAAATGCATTCAATAATGTGAAATGATATTAGCTGTAAGAGCTCATTGACTGCACTCAGGGTCTCATGGTGTCTCTCCGTCTCTGTCCATATCGTGCTCTTTATCTGTTCCTTTTCCTCACATACACAGACACACACGCACATATACACAGAAGAAATGGAAATAAAAGTGGGAGGCTTGAACCGCGTATAGAAACAGCAGCAGAACAATCACACCGAAGCAATGCCCCCCACGCCTGGCCCATTAATAACAGTAATATGCACACCGTGCCCAAACCAGCACTGCCGAAAGCACCACTGACACTTTAATGGGCATTTTTTACTTTTGTTTTTAAATAATGCATGTGCTGCTTGTCAGCACTGCTTCACTCCACCCCTGTTGTGCCTTTGCAGCGTTCCTTTGTGCAGAAATTACAATGGGGACCTGTGTTTTCTGTGCTGCCTGCTACATAAGCTGCATTCATCACATACATGGGGACAAGTGTGTGCAGTACATCACACTCTTGGGGGCGTGTGTGTGAGCATGCATGCATGTGTATTTGTTTGTTAAGGCCACTCATTGGCACTGAGTTAATTAAGAGAGAGTTCGCTCTTTGAGAGAGTGAACTGAGTGCTAAGGCTCGGTGGCAGTGGATGCCACTAATATGGGAGTTGCTACAGTATATAGTATGTTACGGCAGGCCTGATAGTGTGCCACTGTTGTTGTGTATCTGTCAAGCATAGCTTTTTTTCCTTCTTATTTAACTAGGAAAGCATCATACAGTAGGGAGCCAACGTTAAACTGGAAACTGTGTGTTCTGTTCACCCAATAATAAAAAATTACAAATCCAGCCTTGAAATAGCAGCCTTAAGACACACACACAATTTTCCACAACCCAAGACCCATTGCAGGTTAAATATCAGCAGCTTGACATACTGAGCAGCTGAATGGAGAGCCCATGAGAATGGACAGGGATCAGCTGACATGTCTTTAGATACAGCTTTTAGAGATTACGGCTAAAATGTCGGACAAACAAACATTTACAGTGATATACTCAATGTCACAGGAGACACACAAGGTAAATATTAACAATCCTTAACAAAATAAATACTGTCGAATGAAAACAAGACCTATTGCGTTATTCTTGTGTATTGTAAACCTTGTGTATATACAGTGAAGTGAACATTTGTTGTGGTAGCTTTGGATTTTTATGATGTTTCCTGATTGCTGCTCTGTTTTGCATGAAGCAGCTGAGCACCGTCAGTGTACCTGCTGTAAACTGTGTGAGTTTTATTTGTGTCGTGATCACACTTTGGCCACACCTGATTAATTCCTGAGCCAACCCCTAGCTGTATCATCCACAGTGAAACTGTGGGAGAAAGTTAGCACATTAATAATTCATCCTACAGATTAAATTATATCATATACTATAGTACATACTTTTACCTGATCTTTGAGTATGCATAGTAAATCCCAGGAGCACAGATTTACTTTTTCAAATGAAAGAAACCCTTAATGCATTCAGTGACAGACATTAGTAGAACAAGCAGCAACACTTAGTTACAGGCAAATAAACATTTGTAAGTCAAATCATAAGTTAATCAAACTATGGCCGAATCGGGCACTTGGGCCAAATGGGGCTTCTTATTGCTCTACTGGTAAAGAGATCTAAAGAGATTCCCCCGTTTTAAGTAGTAGTTTGGAGAGCTTTCTCTTTGTTGCAATCTTCATTCTGCATCTCATTTGCTTATTTGCACAGCCTGACTCAGTTGTGTAACTTATTGATTCTAAACAAGCTACCTATCTGTTTTTGTCATTACACATATGGTCAGTGAACCTCTGAAATCAATATTTATAACATTCAATGCTGCATGTTCTATAATTTCCTTTCCTGTGCAATCATTTCCTTTGATTGAAGTTGCCTTTCTGTTTTTTATGAACATGGAGTGCCTTCCTGTTGGAGCGCATGCAGTTATCCATTGCTGCTCCCTTTTCATTTCATTGATGCCCACCTGTGTTTCTCTGTGCCCTTGCAGGAAACACGTTGTGTAAGTCAGGAAGCATAGCTGTCTTCGGAAACGTGGTATACAGCGGACTGCTGAACGATCACCTCTGGCATTTGGGAGTGCCCCTCTTTACAAGACTGGTAAGAGCAACAGGCCCCTCTGTACACTTACGTACTTTTTGTCAGAAGAGTTTTATGGGGTACCATTGACCCCAAACATTCAGGTGCAGAATCTCTTAAAGCAGTGGTTTCCAAACCTTTTTTCTGCTGGGCCCCCTCCCACCCCCATCACATACATGTCAGTTATATTTAGCTGTTACCACGCACCCCTAGCCCAACATCACCGTCCCTAAGTTTGTAAACCACTGCCCTAAAGTCTCTAATGGACTGCTTCGGATGCTTACTCTGTTGACATGTCTTAGTTGAAGTTCTACTCCAAGTACAAGATGTGACAGCCCTCTGCTGTGGGTGTAAGATGAGAGAACACCACCGCATCTGAGCATCTTATTTCATATCAGACTTTTTAAAAAGGCTTTCTATGCTCTCTGAAGGCTTGAGCGTCAGGTAGGAAGTCCCATGTGAGGCATAACAAAGTCTTCTCTAGCCCTCAAACATGTGTGAAACCATGCTGTCTATGGTTCATTTGTTTCCCCCAGATGAGGCTGGACTGGTGTGTAATTTGCACTGGAAAAAAGGCTGGTTGAATAATTCATGAAATTTAGTTTTATGTCAACAGCTCAAAAGAATTACAAGTTTTTAATTAAGAGATGAAGACAGTTGAAGCCTGCGTTAAGAATTAATGATAACTGTCTATTCCTAATTGTCAAAGGGAAATTGTATGTTTGTTTTACACTTACTCTCACTGGTGCTGGAATGTGAGCTGCAATACAAAAGAGAGTCTCATGAACGGCATGAAACATGAGTTTTCCTTAAGAAAAAAGAAATTGGGGCACAGCACTTTTTCATCCTGTTAATTACCCTCCTTCTATGTGGGTTGCAAGTTTTCATAAAAGTTTATTATTGATTAAATCTGTCATTGTAGCTGTCATTTATGAGTTGGGAATTACTGTTGAGTGGTGTACAAGGGTTGCATATAATTGGGTTACATTAAATAGATAATTCAGCTGATCTCATAAATGCCTAATGTGAAGACTTGTTCGATTATCAATTAATGTCAAATGGGGATGCAAGATGCTGTTAGGATTCCAGTTGGGTTTGGTTGTGACTCAAGTGGTAAAGCTGCAGTAGGAGATCTCTCTATACAAATGTGAAGCCTGCAGCTTGGTTGGTAGAACATTTCATATACGCACTGATGAATTTGAAGTAAATTCACGCGTGCATGAGCTGACACACATATTGCACATTATAGCCAACACGCAAGTGTTTGAAAGTTGCAACAAGTGATGTCAGATGTATGACGGCTGACAGGGTTTTGGCTTTGATTGAACAGAAATGGTGCTAAAACGTACCTTCTTTAGAGCAAGGTGGAAAATTAATGAACTGATATTTTCATAGGTCATGTTCACATCATAGCAGTTAAAAAATAAAAAAAAACTTTAACATAACATGGTTTTCATTGAAATTACCAGCATATAATGGTCCTGCAAATTTTTCTTAAAGGGGAAGTCTACTTTAAGATATTGATTATATACTGTAATGTCTTATGTAGCTCTGGAGAGGCTTTGTCAAGTCTGAAAAAATTATGAATTACGATCATATTTGAATGTTCCAGGCTCCAGTGTTTTTTGCTTGACCAATGCTAGAGATATATGCTGTTTTGAGACACATCAGGGGTCAGAAATGTGCAAGGTGAAATGGCTCATTCAAGCCCTCTGTACTCTAAGCCTAACCTTAAAATTCGTCTGAGTTTCCCATTTGGGGTTCCAAATTCAAGGGCTCTTCTCTCATGCTTTTTCAAGTACAAAGTCAGAAATTCCCAACTTCTGATGTGCATCGAATGCAGCATAAAAATCAAAATGTCTTGGCCTCTGCTGCTTTAATTCAGCAGTGCTCTGTTTATTCAGTCATTTGCAGGTCCCTGAACTTTATGGGAGTTCAGTACTAAATTTGTGCACTCCCCTTTATCCCTTTTCTACATGAATGATGCAATTTGTGTGGAAATTTCAGTGCATCAGAAATGGTTTGATCTCATTTGACAAAAATAAATAAATCCAGCAACGACCAAAATAAATATAAAATGAAGTTCAGTGAAACAATTAGTATTATGGCACACAAACAAGGTGTTTAAGCATGACACGTGATAAAAATATTAACAGTTAATATAACCTATTTTTAAACCATTATCTCAAAAAGGTTAATATGAATGAACACGTGGATCACACGCGGAATGATGTGAAGTCGGCTAATGACCTCTACCATGACGTTCACATCCATGTCCCTTCTCGGACTACCGAGTAGCAACCATGTTCTCACCTCCTGCAGGAGCTCTTGTTGAAATAAAAGGTGTGACTTCTTGCTGTGACAGAAAGGTGTGGTCTTGTGTAGGACGCGGCATGCCTGCTGCCGACACACCGGGTGTGCCCGGCAGTCGTATCAGCATGACACGCGGCAAGCCTTCACATCCCCAACACACAGCCTCTAATTACTGCACAGCCCTGCCAGTTAGCAGCCCTGGGCCAGTACTGCCTGCTCAATGCCAAGATGTAAACACTGCATTATTAACACTACATACAGCCTGTGCACACAGCTATGTTTAATATACTCAACGCATGTCTACACGGAGGCGTTACTTTAGTGGGATTCTTTACATGGAGCCATACAAAAGATTTATTGTTTCCCAGACAGTGATTTCCAAAATCACCAGATGGGCAATTTGCTGCGTATAGTGTAATGTATGCTTACAAATGATGTTTAATGATATCTTCCAGGGCTAGGAAGCAAAATACCATTTTCAAGGCTACGTCAGAAAGCAGAAGTTAAAGAAATGAGAAAAGAAATTCATTTTTCTTGTTATGCTCTGCATATTTATCGGCTGTCAGGGCATCCTGATGGCATAGCACCATTTTGGTGTCGTTACAGTAAGTCACAGTTCACACACAGGCAAACATCACTTTTTTATTTGTGCAGTTGAGGCTGAAAACCCACTGATCCATCTTCTCTATCTGCTCATCCACATCATACTGGGCGAGAGAAGGAGTACGCCATGGACGGGTCAACTGATCACATGTATATCTGTAAATATACTTTCCTGTCATGAAAGTCTAAATATTTTATCAAAACTTGCTGTTAGCTACCAGGATTAAAAATGTTTCTGAATAACTTTGTGTTGTTGACTTTAAAATAATCAAATTTGAACATACTGAATCTAAAACTCCCCCAGGTTGCTTAAAATTCTCAGTATAAATAACAAGAGCCTGACCTCTCAGTAGTGGCTGTGACATACAGAACAGCAATCACATAAACGCTGCACTTTATATTTGATTTCATTTGTTTGTTTTTATGTTGGGGAGATTTTAGTGCCTGAAAGGACGAGCCTTTAGAAATCATTATGCAGTGGTGGAAAAAGTACTAAAATTGTTTACTTAAGTAAAAATAGAAATAATACAGTATAAAATACTCTGTTAAAAGTAAAAGTTCGACATTCAAAATGTTACTTAAGTAAAAGTGCTAAAGTATTAACATCAAAATATACTTGAAATAGCAAAAGTAAAAGGGCTCATTAAGCAGAATTCAACATTTCACATTAATGTAGGCCTATGTCATAGTACTGGATTAAAATTACTGAAGAATTATTTTGATAGGGGTCATTTAAGCTACCTTATATGCTTATAATTTGAATTACTGCTGGGTAGCTTGTGAAGTTCCCACTGAGGATCAATAAAGTCTTATGATAATATTGTTTTTTGTTTTATTGATCTGCTTCTGAAAAGTAACTGCTAATTAAGGTTATCAAATAAATGTAGTGGAGTAAAAAGTGTTACATTCGCAAATGTAGTGAAGTCAAAGTATGAAGTAGCAGAAAATGAGAATACTCAAGTAAAATACAAATAAAATTGTACTTAAGTACAGTACTTGAGTAAATGTATGTAGTTACTTTCCACGGCTATCATTATGGTTCTAATTCCCTGCATTTCGAGACTTTTCGCATTCTATGCTAAACGCAATATGACAGTTAAGTCAAATGAAGAACGTGTCATCAATTTTAACAGATTTTTTTTTTAACGTTTGAACTGTACAATCCAGAATCTATCTCATCTGACATTTTTTTGTCATGAATTTTAGTCAAGGTGCTACTGAGTTCTTAATATGCTGCAGTTCTGATGCTTAAGAAGGGACACAGAGAGAGAGAACTGGAAAGGCTTACCGAACAGTACATTGTTTTGTACATTGTTCAGTGCAGCATTTTAAAACATTATCGCTCTTCACAGCCTTATTTTCATGAGCTGGATTTAGTGCAGAAATGTCAATACCAACCTGTGGAGCTTCTGGAGATGGATAAAACAAGTATAGCTTTGGATCCATGTCAGCGAGTTGTAAAACAGGTCACTTCATAAAGTGAAGTGTGTGATTAGAGAAAACTAACCTGGGAGTCTCAGAACAGAGCCACGTCTCTTCCTGGCTTCAGCCAGCCAAACAGGTCTCACACCAGCTGAGACCAGACAACACAGGACCAAATGTTTGATGAATGAGGACGAAAGGCCAAACCCGCCATTAACTATAGCCCAAAACTCCACGGGGAGTTTGAGAGACTGGGAGTGAGAACTCGGGGGAAGTGCAGCTCATTTTCTCCTCTGGCTAATGGTAAGATCTGAGTGTAGTTTGACAGAAGACGCTCTGTAAGCAGCAGCACACTACAGAACAGAGGTGAGATCATCATAAAATATTAAGACAACAGATCTTGAGTCAGCGAGCATTGAAGACAAACGGACATTTTAGGCAGAACACGCTCTGTGTGAGGCCTTCACTTCCTCTTCTCTTTGAAAGCTCTATCTTTATAATGGATGGCACAGTCTCCGGGGAGTGTCTAGACTATGGTGGGAAATCTAAATGGTCAGGAAAGCCTCTCACATCCTTGGTAAGCAGTGTGGCGCATGGGAGAACTACAGCTCGGGAGAAAGACAGGAAGCTGGGAGGACCAGTTCTGCACCCTGAGCAGTGCCATTTTAACCTGAATTTCATTT